CTATTAGACACAGAGGCTTCATGGATGAACAGATTCATGTACTGCCAGATACATTTTTACACAACAGGAACGACTAGAAATAAATAATTGCATATAATGTCATATCCCCATCATCTATGATTTACACTTGCTTCCAATTAATTAACGGATAAAGTATAAAATTCTGCTACTACTTTTAAAGCACTACGACTCCAACAGCCCACTTATCTACTTGAAGTCCTTCCTAAATATGTCTCTTTATCCTCCTTCCGTTCTTCTGACCTTAATTTGCTCATTTAATTATTATATAAATTAAGATAGCCATTAACACTGTTAAATTCTGTATAAATCTAAATAGGCCTATAATTTTCAGTTGGAAGTGTTTTTATGTTGATTGTCAGATTGCTTGTCTGTTACATCTAATTTCGCTGTTCCCTGGTTACATTTAATATTTATTGCAATAATCCGCTTGCTGTTTTCTGGAGCTATATAGGCTTATACGTCAAAACTTATTATTCTGAAAATATTTATGTCTATATTTGATGCTAGTACACATATCATACATACAAAAAATAATTTAAGAAACGTATAGACATCTATATATCTATATAATATAAAGCTTTGTAAACAGTTATATGTAGAAATACAGAAAAAAAAACCCAAAACGAATTCTAGATAACTGGGTACGGGTACTAGTACGGGCATTTATAATGCGCCTCTTCCTTGAGATTATAAAGGACAGTTCTTTTCCTTGGTCATTGGGTCCACATGCTTTTAGTGTTGCTGCAGGTAATCTGCGCAGGAGCAGGCAACCCCACCAGTTACCCATTTATACTCCTAGGTGGAGAGAAGCAATACAGATAAAGTGTCTTGCTCAAGGACACAAGCGAAATGCACGGGGAGGAATTAAAACCCCGACCTCGAGGTTGAGAAACCAAACCGTTCCTGCTGCGTCAAACCGCTTCGAAGTGATATTTTTAAAAAAGTTTTAAACATCTATATGTAGATATATGCGAGTTGTTTATGCTTTTATTGTCTCCAGGTTATGTTGGAGGAAGCTCTTATTCATAGTGGAGAAACTTGTTATGTTCACCAGAAACGCCTTTAATTAATATTCTTCATAGTTTATTTCTGCTTGATGTTTTGAGGTTTTCTAATATTCCTAAAACATATAATTCTCTCTTCCGTATTTGATACCAGGTTATGTTGGGGGAGGCTTGCCTACCCATAAAGGTGCTGGAACAAACTCATTATGTTTACCAGAAACGCCGGAATATGATGACGATTTAACATCTGGTGGCAACAATCGATTGTCTCTGTTATACAGTCCTTTGAGTGACGTACACGAGGGAGACATCATGTGTGCGGTGTGCCTTGCGCGTGGCAGATCAACCACTTTGATGATTCCTGCTAAACGCACGTGTCCTTCAGGCTGGACCAAAGAGTATGGCGGTTTATTGATGGGAAGCTACAAGGAATATAGTGGTCATAATTATCTTTGCATTGGTAGAAATCCTCAGGCACGACATGGTTCCATGGCAGACAATGAAGGCCAGTTGTTTTACCCTACCAGTGGAGTATGCAGCTCGCTCCCTTGCCCACCGTACGTTAATGGGTATGAAATATCATGCGTTGTATGTACTAAATAAATAGTCTCGCGTTTTACTATCATAATCGGCGGAGGCCCGTCCCATAGTGGATAATTATAATGTTACAATAGTTTAAGCCAGAGGGATAAATTTTAGCATAAAATAATAATTTTATTTATTTTTTTTTATTTTTTATTTTTTTTATTTTTTGCTTTTAACTAATACTGTATGTACAATTTTTTGCTGATGTTTTCATCTTCGATGCACTGAGTTCTTTTTTTTTATTTAGTTGGCCATGCATGCTAGCTAACATTTTTTTTATCTCTGTAAAAGCAAATATTAATCCAATATACAAACGATTGCGAACACAGAATGATAGCAATATACAAACGATTGCGAACACAGAATGATAATTTCAAATAATACTCAGACGAAATAAATTATATGTAACGAAGACTAAAATACGAACAATGTAGTTTATAAAACTTCACATTATAATCAGACAAAATAAATCATATAATGAAATAAATGATTGGTTATCGGATTTTTAATTTAGGCATAAATTATGCCAATCTTTGACTGACACTGAGTGTACCCATTGAGCTGACGGAGTACTGACTCAGAATTATAGTCAATTTGTAAAGAAGACAGTAGAAAATAATTGGAGAGAGATGAAAATGAAAGAATGGGATGTAAGAGAGAGAAGGAAAGAGATGAGGGGGTGGGAGAGAGGGGGAAAAAGAGGGGAGAGAGAGGGGAAAAGGGGGAGAGGGGAAAAGACAAACAAAACTAATAACCTTTGCTAAGTATAAGATAGTTTAAAAACTGTTTTGGCAGAGCAGAGGAGTCAACGTGATGTTACAATTATCATTAATTTTATTAATGTTATTCATTTGAAAGACGATTTGAAAGAGAGTTTTCAAGTATCCTTGTAAACCTAAAACATATTGTAATGCCCCACAATTTAGTATATGATCATTTATAACACTATCAGATCGTGAAGAATGTTCTTTAAGTAATAGTTATTAAGCATCTATTTGTCTTACCAATATAATCATTATTACTGTATATTGTTTGTACATATTTAAATTGCTGTTTAAAGCAACGATTCTTGGAATACTTATTAATTAGAAATAACATTTTGACGAAATTATTTTTATTCACATCATAAAAACCACTCAAAGTGCCTGTGTGTTCAGTCTACAAGAGCTCGAGCGACGTGGCATGTGACTGTTGCCTGGTTCTCAATAGAGCCATCCGGATCGGGAGCTAACCGTTAGCGCTAACCGTCAGCACCTGCGTGAAAACGCCAAATCGCTTAGCGCTAACCGTTAGCGGTATCCGGATACCGCTAACAGCGTTCTCACGAGACCTAGTATCCGGTTTGGGAGCTTGCCGTTAGCGCTAACAACCGTTAGCACCTGTGTGAGAACGCCCGATGTTTAGCATTAACCGTTAGCAAGCACTCTCGGTTAGCAAGGTGAGGGCGTTTCTATCATCAACCAATCACACGTACGCGTTTACAATTTTCAGTTTCTTATTGGCTAGTGATTCAATCATCATTATTCTTGGTATCCGGATCGGGATCTTCTTGCATGGACACACGCTTAGCTGCCGTGTGAGAACATAATAATGGTGATCATCCAGAAGTTTTGCGCGCACTGTGATAACAAGGCAATGCAACAGAATTAAGGACGCACATCTCGGGACCTCAAAGGTTATAACTCTGGCATCGACATTCTAGGCGCACGTGCGTCCCTGCACGCTGAACGTCACAAAAACCATAGCAACCAGACCATAAACCGTCAGCGCACGTGACGAATTACCCACGCGCGTGGGTCGCCATGATAATCGCGAGTCGTGCGGTGATTACAAAGGAATAATGATATTTTGCACTAACATTAGACTGAATTTATATTCTTCATTTCAACATTAATTTTTTTTCCGAAATTGTGGTGAATTGTCGTTCATGAGACTCACTTCGCAGAAAAAAATTAATAAATTTTCTGTATATACTCAAATGTTCGTTTTCGGCCCCTTATGCCAACATTGTCAAAATGACAGATTAATGTTACATAAGAACATGAAATTTTATAAAATTCGTAAATTTTAAATTGCTATAACTTTTCATTTTTTGATCAATTTTCACAAATCAAATTGCAGTTTATAGAAGCATTGAACAAGCTCGCGGTCAAAAAAAATAAGATGTAACAGACATTGCGAAGTACCCAAAAAAACACCATAAAACGAATGGCAGGCATAGACTAATAATTGACGGCTGTACTCGCAACTAGTATCGGATTGTCGATGATAGTAAAGATCAAAGGACTGTACGCACGCGCTATGTTCGAGAGCGGAGATAGATGTTCGTCCTTCTGTTAATTTACCTTGGTGATAACGTGTTTGTGACGTTTTGTCTCCCCAGCATGGCGCCATTGGCTTCACTAAAACCAATGAGCAATCTGGGATTTATTCCTCACCTCTCGATTAACGGAGAAATGCATAAAAGTTAGGCCTATGTAAACTACGAAAAATAAACATATCGTCCCTCTTTGGTTAGTTACGTGATCAAAGTCACAATCAGAAATAAAAATAAAATGGTGGCGCTTTGTTTGACGAACATCAATTTGAAACACGAGCAGCTGAAGCAAGCTCTTCTTTAGGAAAATGAAGACTAAATAAATTATAACAGTTATCAAATCAAGATGTGTAATATAAAATACTTCATAAGCCTCATTTACACTAGACAAGATTACGACACGGTATCGTGTCGTGGTTGTGTCGTAATCGTGTCAAGTATAAAGGTGGCTTTAGAGGGGGACCTAATTATAGTCAAATATACATAGTGACGGAATTACTAGGCATCAATAAGCCGCGATATAAGAATATTGGTAAATAAAAAAACATAGGCCTATTACACATGGATCACAATATGGACTGGTATTTGTGTGACGGTCTAAGCTAATGAGCTGATATATGAGCTAATGAGCTAATATATATAAGGTATATTGTAAGGTCTATAGGCTATATAAGATGTGTATAAGAGACAGCGACATGGTTCCATGGCAGACAATGAAGGCCAGTTGTTTTACCCTACCAGTGGAGTATGCAGCTCGCTCCCTTGCCCACCGTACGTTAATGGGTATGAAATATCATGCGTTGTATGTACTAAATAAATAGTCTCGCGTTTTACTATCATAATCGGCGGAGGCCCGTCCCATAGTGGAAACAGCCTTTTCTGCATTCCGTTTATTATTATATTTATAAGGGTTATTAAATTAAATCCATTTATTTTTTTAAATTTTTGTTTGAATAATATTTAAATGTACATGTATTATCAACAGAGAACAGGCAAAACGAGTGCTCAGAGGCGGAAATCGGGACAATGGCCCATAGAGATATTCAAGTGCAACATTTCTTATAATAAAATTAGTGTCCTTTTGGAGACCTCGTTTTGTCATTTTTTCAATGCTTAAAAGGAGGGCGTATCACATTGATCTCTGTTTAACGTGTGTGCATCAAGTGTTGTATTAGCATACCGTAGAAATTGCCTCTCATCGCATTTGAACAACGAAAATCGCTAATTCTCAGTTGGTTATTTCATTGTTCCTGGTTAAGGCCTTTCCATCATAGACAGAAGCTGGACCCGAGCTTTAATGATAACAGTAGCTTTAACTAGCCTATTAAAGTGAGGACATGGGCTGTATTGTGAAAATGTATCCACAGCCTCGGTTCAATCCTCCATTTATACAGTCAAACATTTTAAACTGTTTTTGTACTAGCCCTACCAGTTCTTCTGTCAAATGATGGCTACAAATGAAGTTCTTTGCAATACAGTGGCATAACGCCTACGCGCTCTCCTGCGGCGGTCCAGGGTCCCCCTCGCCAAAAAGGGTTTTGTTGATACATAACAGCATAATGTATCATTGACATCGACTGTAGGACATATAGGCCTCATGTGTGGTGGATTAAATGGCGCCCTGTCGACCCGGGGTCCCTACTAAATTTGTCAAATCTTTTTTTTTTTAATTTTTTTTTTAAGTGGAGATAAAAAGAAATTATATTCACAAGTCTGTGTGCCAATTCCCGCCTTCCATTTTATTACATCAACCCTAACCATGGTGGGGATGAGGTGGTAGACCCAGCGGCGTAGCGAGGTGGTGAGGTGACGGGCCCCGTGCAAGATAATAGCCAGGCCATAAAATGCACCTGGTCGGACTCAGAGTCACAGCCTTGGCTTGGCGGGGTCTACTTGATAAAGTATAGTGATCTGACGTGATTTAAAACTATGCACAGTATAATTGAAGCAACTTCTTCATAATATCCAACCAAAACGTGTGTGTATAGGCCTATGTGTGTCGATATTTCAATTGCTTTAGAAATACCGTAGGCTATGATTTCAAAAAGTATTGTAGTGCATCGTACCGTGGTACGAAGTATACGCAAATACCTAAATGAAAGAAATAGGCCTATCCTTGAATTTATTCAACAGATACGAAGCTGTTTATAGCTTTGTTGGAACCATGGACTCTAAAACCTAATAGGCCTATTATTGAGGAGTCCTTTTACAATTTAGGTTATATTTTCAGATCTGTAGGCCTATTGAACGGGTCCCTTCCTTGGGCCCCAGTGTTTTGACCTGGCTCGCTGCCCAAGACCTACGTCATTGGTAGAACTTCCATCTTTGAAAAATTTCTCCCTGGTTCCCCCTTCCTCTATTTCAAATTCATGGATTCACCACTGATACACTATACGGTAATTTATTTGTCGTTAAAAATAATTATAATAACAATGACAAACATGATTAAAAAACGAGCACATCCCACGTGAAATTATCTGCTAATGAGACCCAAAAAGGGCCCAGCGGTGGCTCTAGAAATTTGCCGACAAGGGGTCCGACATATCCAGCAGGAGGTCTGGCCCAATTGGCCTATTAGAGCCTTTCGGTCCTGGACCTGGATTAACGTAGGGTTTACGAGAGAGTTTTTAGAGCTTATTATGGTCCAAATTGTGCTTTTAGACCACAACAATTGGGATTGGAAATCAAATTAACGTTATTTGGATAGACAAATTTTTTTTTTTTGATCCAACGAAATCGTCGATGAAGGAAAACTTTTCCTACCCCCCTCCCCCACCACGCGCTGGCGCCACCACCACTGGCAAGGCCCCAGTCTCAGAAAGCCACAGGGCCTCCGATCCCATCGTTACGCCACTGCTAATCGGAGATCTTGTATGCTTTAGGAAGTTTCAAATGCATTCCAGCAAGTTTCACTTGTTTAGACCTGTATGTGTTATCCATTCATACGTTTGAAAGGGTCTGTCCTTCAACTTTAATTCTGTTTTACTCGTAAATATTTAACTAATATAGTTGTATATTTCTGTGACATTGGTTGGACCATGAAGTAAAACTACAGTAATTCTAAGAATTAATTATAATGAAACAAAATTTGTTTCATTATAATTAATGTATTCACCGAAGAATGAGCTGACTGAGCTGGGTTGGAATCGTCTGTCGACGCCAGTGGGAGATTAGTCTATTAAAATTAATGCTGTTTCGCCAAACACTATAATGTTGCAGAGCATTGCAGGTATTATAATTGATATGTGGGAAGTGATACAGGTGTGTCTGAACTTGAGCAAAAGCTCGTGTTTCATATAAATCTGTTAGTTAAACAAGGTGCTACCCGCGTCATTAGCCGTTCTTGTTATACTAATATTCAATTCGCAAACGAAAGTGAACAAAAGAAAAAATAAAAGAAACCATTGAAAGCACTGATAGTAAATTTGTATACAGTTCCAGTATTATTAGTTAATAGTAGTTAAGATATATTATATAATTTTAAAATTTTGTAACAGGGCCATAATTGTAAAACAGGTTGTTTTAATCATGTATAAATAATGTTCAACAAATAAATAAATAAGGGTTATCTCGTTTAAACGAACTCAGTAATTTTGGTAGACAACAACTGGCCTACAAGTTATCTCTATTCAGTTACTATATACCTATCTAATATTTTATAAATTCATATCATAATATAAAATTGCATTTATTTTTTTTTTTAAAGTTTTTAAATTGTAATTTACTTAAGGGAACAAGTAACATCTGAACACGATAATCATGTAATAGTTCTCAGTATTTAGTATAATTTATTTGCCACTTTTAAAATATCCTTTTACAATGAAAACCATTTGCAAGGGTCGCTCATGAATAAACAGAAATAATAACTAGATTTCTGAGTCAATGTTTCGTGGCTTGAAAATTGATGTTATGTTTGTAATGGCTTAAACTACTACCGTATATAAGATAGAATTATCCCCCACCGGACACATCCCGGTATTTCTGATTCATGGTTTCAGAGTCGGAATGAAAAGAATAGGCTGCAGTGTACTTAACTAAAAAATGTAAAATACTATGGAAAAAAACGATCCCTCGTGGGACAAAACTATCCCCCGAGGGATACGGTAACAAGTCGGCATTTCCAGGTTTCGGAATAATATGGTTATCTCATAATATTAATGATATAAATATGTTTATATCTGACATTATACTTTAGATTTATACTTAGATTATGGAAACAAAGAATTTATTTTGAAAAGACCAATTTATATTCATTACATACGGTTCAAGTGAATACTTGATAGTATGTAATGATAGTGTATCATTGCAAAACGTAGATTGGGTATTTTGCAATTAAAATGTAGATAAAGATAGATACGATGAATAGAGGGAAAAAGCAGAATATGCAAGTTATTTCACTTAGATATAATTTTGTTTTTCCCTATTTTAATGAAATTAGAAAAAAAGCATTTCTACCACATTTTGTTAACAAAATACTTATATATTTCAGTTCTTTCTCTTAATGTCTCTAAAAAATGTAAATATGGCCAATAATTTATTCGAATATTTGTATTATGCTTATAAACTTAAAAATAGCTATTTAGAAACCCTCACCAAATAATTGTATTTATTTTTAATGTATTAATAGTCCCGGAGGCCTATTTTGTTGAATAAAATCTTCCTGGCATAAAAGTTGTATTGTCTACAACGATAGCTTCAAATAAATCTAATCAGATAGAAGACCAGTAAGACACGCATACCCCAATAGGGAGTTTTCGCCCCACGACGTTAACCTTAACTTTAACGGATGACGTCATAATTTATTCATCTTGCGTTGCGGAGTAAGTTAATTTAAGGATTTTACGTCTCGACGTACGTTAGTTACGGGTTTGTGCATGCGTATTTCGATTTGTTTACAAAAGGGGCGGATCTATTTCACTGCATGTCGGCCACTAACGTTAAGCTGGTTTTCCACTAGGCGAATTCATTCGCGCGAATCAAAGCGTCCGTTCGCTTCCAGAGCTCTGATTTGTTGCGCAAAACCTCCGATAGGAATGTGAATGCGCAAGTGCAGGAATCTATGCTTTCGATTCGTGCGAATAAATTCGCCTAGTGGGAAACAGGCTTAAGATTAACGTCGTGCATCGAAAACTCCCTACTAATGCACGATTACGTTGCTACGTGGGACCATAGCAACAATATCCAAGGGAAGGGCTTAGCGGAATGGCTCATTAGAATCAATGGTCTGTCATTGGCGGGTCTCTCCCATCACCTCTGTAAGCTATGTATATAAAAAAAAAACGATACTTTAAACAAATATTTTAACAAATGAGTCTCATGAAATGGACAAAATTCAGCTACATTTTTTCACAATCATCGTAAGTATATAAAAGAACGTACGGTACCGTGGCCATTTGACTTCATTTTCGAGAGACAGATAAGTTAGTGAAGCTGGTCTTTCTATAAATGAAAATGTTGGTTTTCAAGGGTACGTCGATCCTTGTTCTCGGTCTTTGTCTGCTGATTCTCAACAAAGCCAAGGTAAGCTATTTGTAAGAAACAAATTAATATAACGAATATTGAGAATTTGTTGATAAAATAGCGCTTTTACATTAAAATGCCTACAACTTTGCCTTTACTTTATTGGCTCTATGAAAGGAAGACTATCGACTTTTCCTTAAGCTGCTCTATGTTGACTCAGTGGCCTATATAACTTTCCATTTTCCTTGCCCCTTTTCTCTATTTTTTTATATACTTATCACTTTTGATTGTGTTTTTAAACTCAATTGTGAAATATTTCCAAATATTCATACGGTTTGTTAACCTATAAAAAATGTTCACTACCTTAAAACATTAGAATGACCAACGTGCACAGGAGAAATGTGTTAGAGGATCTATCCGGGTACGTCTAAAGTTTGAATGCAAATGCGATGCTTAAAACACCCCCCCCCCCCCCCCCCCCACCCCCCACTCTCAAGAGTTTATTTAATACAAAATTTTGGCTTCATTGAACATTTTATCCAGCCACAAATCTACAAGTTTTAAATCCCATGTTATATTCAATATGTATACGTTTACAATTACAATTTCAACAACATTTATTCAATCAATTAATCAGTAACAATATAGAATATAACATTAATCAGTCAAATCAGTATAACAATATGAAGTAGGCCTAAAATCAATAATAAATAGTAAAAATATAAAGTTTTAATTGATATTTATTAGTAAAAATATAGTTCAACTAAACGGAAAAGGGATAGGCCTAATCAAATTAACCAATCAATCAATCAATAATAGTACCGGTATATCATGTATACGGAAATAGACAAATGAAGTTGACTTGGATTATTTCTAGAAGTTGTTGTTGCCCTGCACGATTTGTTGTTAATTTTTGTATAACCATGGGATGATAACCAATCTAATTTTTAAAAAAAGAAAAAAAAAAGAAAATCAGTGAAGAAACGTAAGAATCTAAAGTTAAATCTGAAAATACAATAGTTTAGTCTTGACCCTTTATTGAAACAGTCCCTATCTGGACCGATAAACACTTTTTTGAATTTTTGGGTCCACAACTGACAACAAGGCATCGTTTTTAATTCATTGAAGGGAGAAGAGGAAGGAAATGGTGTAAATCAAGTATGGAATTTCTTCTTCGGGAATGGAGGTAACAATTGGTTTATTTTTTCATCCTTTCAGATCACGATAACATTGACACCATGTTTTGTTTTTTCCACTTTTTATCACACTCACCTACAAAATTACTCGCCCATCCGACGGGAACTGTCACCCGTACGCTTATTCGTTCGTTCGTTCGTTAATTAATTAATTTATTCATTAATTGATATATTATTTTATTTCATTATTATTGATTCTTTATTTTTTTTTTCATTATTTTTTTTCATTTACTTATTCAATCGTTCGTTCTTTTGTTGATTCATTTGTTCATTTTCTTAGTTAATATCATTCATTTATTTGATTATTCACTAATTTATTTATTTGTTCATTATAAATTATTCATTCAAAGACTCAGAAACACTCTCTTTACAGTTTTATTTTTATTTGATTTTATGTCATCAATATGCTCTTAAAAAATGCAAAACAGAAATATGAACAGATTGAATCACAAGCGAGCATACCGGGATAACCCTAAAATTAACGTAAAATGATCATAGTTATTAACATTAAGCACATGTGTTTACATTAACTCTATGTCTTTCATGTATAGAAACACCGGAGCCTACGTACAATTGCCCAGCAGAGCCAGTGACATGTGAAACAAGAAATGCAAGCGTAGCTTATGTTCGTTGGGGTCGGGATGACTGTAACCCAGATACCTCAGACATCGTATACTCTGGTAAAGTAACAAAGTGTTATTATGCGAACCTGATATAATGTCAGTAGGCCTAGATCTATAGCTCTTAGCAATAGCTTGTTAACCAAGTTTAACACATTCTTTCATGCAACCAGGCGCAGATCCACAGTTTACCATGACTACTGTATCCTAGAATGGGCGGGGTCATGAGAAGGCTGTGTAATTTGTGATTCTTCTGTCGCTGGAAGACACATTTTAGATGAGTGGGGTCTGAGGTAATTCATTAGAAAGCTTTAGTTTCTTATATGCATAGAAATGCATTCTGAAACGTTTATTATTAATACACTTCGAATTCATAGTTTTTCCCTATTTTACTGCGGAAAATTAATGATGGTGATGATGAAGATGATAAGGAGGAGACAGCGGCGTAGCTAGGTGTTGACAGGCACCTATGCTTAATTAATTACCTGGTCCTTTGATCTGAAGTGTCAACTAAGGCGACTCGCCTGAGTTACGGTTGGAGTTCGGAGACATAATCCTCGTAGTCATACCATATTTTTATAACAACAAAATTTATTATTTATGATAACTCTTTTGTATCTATAGTAACTTACACACCACAATCAGTTCAGGCATTCATTTCTTCCAGTATATTTTTTTTAAACAAATAACATAATATAAGACAAACGATAATTTAAAAACTAAAAAGCCTGAAAACAAATATACATTTATATAAATATAAATAAATTATGTATAAATAAATAATTACTTGAGAAAAGAAAAATAAATATAACTGGTTTGGATCATGTCTCATAGTCCATTAACGTATTTTAACATAATTGAAGGAATTTGAATGTTATGAAGACCGTGAATGTTTAGAATATTGAATTTCTTACACAAAGGTTTAAATGGGGAATCAACAGGGACTAATGCTATGATGCGGGCAATCATGATGTAATTAATCATGATTATGATGTAATTTCAATAATTTATTGAAATTATTTGATAATCAGCAGCCCAAATAAAATTGCAGTATTGTAAATAATGTAGTATAAGAAAGTTGTAGAGATGGTGTATATTGCGGAAAAGGTATTTTGATTTGTTAATTACGCCAATGGATTTAGAAATTGTATTTGCAATATATTTTCATAAATTACAACACCAAAAAACAGTTTGATACGTTTTTACGTTTTTTACGTTTTTTACGTTTGATAATAATCTAATGTAAACCAATTCATCTTTTATTTTAGATTGCATATCCATAGAATAACAAAAAAAAAGAACCAAAAAAAAACCAAAACATGATGGTTAGAAATACTAACAAGAAATCGCTAGCCCCATCACAATACTATTGTTAATAATGATTGTATAACAATTTTACCAGTCACATTTTGTCATTAGGTTTATATGCCGAAGAAGACCAGAGGACTGGTCGAAAATTTCTTTGAAAAGTGTTCTATTTTTGTTATGTCCACATGACTCGTTGCTATAATTTTTTGTTTCAACGCCTATTATATAATTTCAAGAACACACGTGGAGTTACGATGATATATATGATGATATACAT